CGCCTCCTGGGTTCAAGCAATTCTCCTGCCTCAGCCTCCAGAGTAGCTGGGACTACAGGTGCTTGCCACTATGCCCAGCTAGTTTTTTCTATTTTTAGTAGAAATGGGGTTTCACCATGTTAGCCAGGGTGGTCTTGATCTCCTGACTTCGTGATTCACCCGCCTCGGCCTCCCAAAGTACTGGGATTACAGGCGTGAACCACTGTGCCTGGCAAGTTATTGTTTATTGTTGTTGGGATTTATTTCCCAAATATTTTCCATCCATGGTTAGTTGAATTGAAGATGCCAAACTCACAGATATGGAGGGCTGACTTTATGTGGAAAAAATCTGGCCTCACTCAGATATGCAATTGGAAAATGGCGAACCCTACATATACCCTGAGAGGGTCCTAAGGACCTGAAATCACCCTAAGACCATATTTTAAATGGAGAAATGATGGTATAGAGTATAGTGAAAAAATAATTACATTTTAAAAAATTGTTTTTACAGAAAAATTAATTCTGAATACAAAGCAAATGATTTTACTAGAAATTTGCTAGCCCAGACTTTTTGCAATCTGGCCTGTTCTTAGTATTTTAGGAATTTGAACAACTCTCAAAGAACTAAAAAGAAATGGCATTTCAATATATAATATGCCCTACACAACATGGTAAAAGATAAATTGCTCACAATGCATATTTGTATTAGAATATATTTGTATTATTTCTAATATTTGTATTAGAAAATATTTGTTTAATATAAATATATAATCAGAAAAAAATTAAAGGATTCTACTATCTCATTTTAATTGATCAGAAATATCTGAAAAATGGTGGGGTGGGGGATGGGAGTGGGAGAAGCCTATATTACAAAACCCTAGAAACCTAGTGAGAAAAAGAAATTCTAATACAACAATCTTAATTTAGGAACAAATTAGGATTTTTTAAATGTCCTTAAAATTTTCTTTAAAGCATTATGCAATAGTGACAAATTCATTTATTTGGTATTAGCAAGGAAATCCTTGTTGACCTGAAGAGAAGGTGGTGATAAAACATCTGTATCTGAATTTTTTAATAGCATCTGCAGAAATTGAAATGGAAGGTGAGGCAAGAGCTCTGACAATGCCATCTGACTGTTCTAGTAATGCCTCTCTTTTTCAAAGATCTCTCATTTGTCATTTGGTATAAGCGTTTGTGTCTTGCTGAATAATTTTTGGGAAATGTATCTTTTTTCACTAAATTAAATAACTTTTGGAGTCTTGTGCTGCCACTCTACTACCTCCTGGACCATGCTGTCTATACTGCCTGACACCACTGATTAGCCACCAGAAACCCACACCTTACACCACTTCCATGTACCCAGTGCACACTCTAGCAAAACATTCTTCATTTTCTATTAGCAACAGTGTGATTTTTTAAATGACTGGTAATCTCAAAAGTCTTTTAGAATAAGCCCACTGTTTGAATATTAGCAGAAGTTGACTCAGAAAAGCGATCTTCCACTGAACAGTGGAACTTTAAAAACAAAGTTCATTTGTAACTTGCATTCTTCCTCTACTGTCTTTTACTGTCTTCTGATAACATTATGTAGATGAGTTGCATCTCCCAAATTAGATTGTAGGAAGGACCATATTTTGTTTGTTTCCTGTGACCCAATTTTTTAACATGGGCCTGAGCACATAAAACCTATTTTAGCCTACCCTTACAGTGTTCTGTACATTCATTACATAGAAAATAAAGAATTTACTCAGTCATCCTAAAATTTTTAGTTCAATAAAACATATATTTTTGGTTTCTAAATTTTCTATTTTTAAGATCCTCTGACTTATAAGTTTTGACAATATGATGGAGGTTATAATTCTATTCTATCTCATAAAGCTCAAAGATTTTAGTAAATTATTTATCCCATTTTCTACTCCAACCATTCATACTGGCTAGAGCCATCATTTTCTTAAAGTTCTTCATATTCCGTCAAATTATATCACTATTGACATCAAAACAATTGACAAGGTTGCTGCCCAGAAGTGGAAAAAACAGCAGAATTGAAGTACAAAAGTAGGTACCCTGCTAGGTTTGTTCACCAGCTAAGTGATTGCACCTACATCAGCTTTCCAGTATGGATTCAAAATAGTTTCTAGGCAAAATTCTAAATTGTTTTTTGGTAGGGCCCATTTGGGTTACTGGTAAGTGGTCAAAACTTTAAATATTAAATCAACTGATGGCAAGAGTTGTTATGAATGAATAATAATTATTGACTGATTAGGCTGGGACATGGAAGAAACAGAGTAATAGATCAGGATCTTATGCAAATGTAAAAGGAAAGAAACAAATACTGAAAGCAAACAATAAGGGAGTCCTCAGTGTCTGATAACATTCGTTCTTTGAGGGAACTAAGCCTGCCATCTCCCTCAACCATGGTCAAAGGAGAGCGCTTATGACTCATTCTTGGCCTTGTCATGACTATATGTCTCCTACATCCAGGAGTAGGTACATAAATCAAGCAAGGCTAATGAGAATACTATTTAAGATTAGGTAGATGTTGAGAAAGAACATCTCTCTCATCTTAGAAATATGAGCCTGAGAAATACAGGCTTGGTGCTTCTGTGGCCACGTTTCATGCCATTTGAAAAGGAGAGACAGAGAAACAGAGACACAAACATGCACAGGGGAAGAGAGAGAGAGAGTGAGAGAGAAAGAGAGAGATTATTTGAGTCTGAACCTCTAGATTTTGTTATGTCTGCAGATAGATCTACTCTGACTTCTCAGTTACATGTGCCAATAAATTATCATTTGGAACTTATGTGAGTTTGAGCTGAATGTTTATTACTTTCAACTGAAAGAGTTTTGGTCAATAGGCAGTCTGAATCATGCAGAGTAGCTATGGTTTATTGTTCAGGGAAGACTGCTGAAACAGCCTCCAAAGTTCTGGGGTCAGAGAGCACTGGATGTATCAGTATGTGTGTCTGTCTTTATTCCTTTGCTGCAAAAGCCCCAGAGCCTATCGCTTTGATGTACAGTCACTTAAGTTAGGTTCTTAGCAACTTGCTTTTCTCTGATCACAGTGAGTCTTCCCTCTTATGTAACACCATATTAACTGTCAGGTATTAAAATGCATAGATCATATATTCATTCTCTCCTCTAAGAATTTATAACTGATGTTGCATTTTATGTGGGATGTTTATAAATATTTTAAGAAGTATGCTGGGTTGCACAGACTCGCATCCAAATGACAAAAGTAAAACATATTTTTGTTTTGTAGTATTGCGAATTGATTTTAATAACTTGACTTTCTTTAGCAAGAATGTATTAAAATATCTCAAGCCTCTTGATTGCCTGCATGAATGACCAAAACTTTTACTATAGCTTAAGAGGCCTTACCATGACTATATGGCTATTTAATGTTTTATTGTGTATACTGGTGAAATAAATTATTGAGAAATCTCTAATTGGGCTGGGAACCCCTTAAGATCTCCTTGTAAACATTTTTCCGTCTCATAAAAACTGAAAACATTTAGAAATGGTGACTGTTTCCTTTAAGTGAGGTACTTTAGGGTCTGGAAAAATTAATATTTTCCAGATAAAATAATTGTAAAATATATTTACACCTTGCAACCAAGAAAAAGAACATATAAAGTTTGAAAAAGTCCTTTGAGTATTCATTTGTTTTTTATTTTTAAATATTGCATCCTTGTTGGTTAATGTTTTCATTAGAGAATGAAAATTAAATGACTGGGTAGTGTTCTTTATCATCTTGAAAGTTGTGATTGGTTATCACCATTGGCATGCGGTTTGATTTCTCCTGAGACGAGTGCTTTCTTTCTCAGAAGGAACTAAAAGGAAAGAACCCGTTTCCCATTTGAAGCAGTCTCTTGGATATGCCCACAGAGTTTGACTGTGAATTGCACACAAACTTCTTCATTTCCAAAACCATGTAAACTTGCTAGTTCAGGGGTTCAGGACAGCTCAAATGGTAGAAACCATAATAAAAGTCCAGGTATTATATCTGTTAATTGTTTCGATAAATGTTGTTGGAGAGGAAGACACTAAAACCTTTATGTTTACTGTATAAATTTTAGAGCTCTGAAATGCCAGCTTATTGGATTAAAGGAGTCAATCATTGGGCTGGAGAGACTATCCCTAATTTTTGAATATCCTGAACTAAACTGCCATTGTCTCAAACATAGAAACCAAGTGGTGAACTAACTAGGATTCTTTCATGGCAAGTAACAGAAACTAACTCTGAATAACTTAGGCAGAAAAAAGAAATGTAGTGGCTCGTGCAATTAGAAATTCAAAGGGCAAACTAGTATAACCGAATCCAGGGGATGAAATTATATCAACAGTCCTCTTTCTTTGTAACTCTGCAATGTTTTTTCCTGTACTGGCATCATTTTAATAAAGTGGTCCCATATGGTATCAAAACTGTTCACTATTAGCAGCAGACTCTATCCTCTTTTGCTCTCATGATTTCAGAGAAAGATGGAATAACTCTTTCTTGATTATTTGAGCAGCATTTCTGGAGAGGCTCCTGACTGGGATAACTTGGTCTGCTGAATATTCTTGACCCTATCACAATGGCCAGGGAACAGGATATTCGGGTTGGGTAGGTTGGGTTGTGTGCTACATCTGTGTGAGAAGGATAAGTGAAATGATTGACAGCTCCGTTGGGGTTTAGACAGAGAATTCCACATAAGAAAGGAAGGCAAGGAGGAAGGATAGGTTGAGATGTACTTTAGTCATGATAGTGATGACTTTTGATAGGAAAGTGGGGAAGATGCCATGTGAGGAGACTGACAAGCTGTGATTCGTACTAGTTCCTGGCTCTATCTTATGTCGGAAGCAGAGCTAAAGGAGGTGTAGCTGAAACAGAAAGAAAGGAAGGAGACACATATACACAAAAGCTAAGGGATTAAGTTCTGTCAGTTGCCTGACTCACCCAGGTAGTTATTGCTGTTTCTGTTTCTCTGCCACAATGAATCGGGGAGTTTCTTTCAGTTTATCTCTTTTATTTTGCCTTTTAGGTGGACAAAAAAATCGTAAGAACTGAGATAGGAGTTCTTCTTCGTCTCTCACATCCAAACATTGTAAGTGGTTTTTAAACTACTATTTCAAATGATTTCCAGAGCTAGAGAAAGGGATCTTTGTCCTTCACTGTCCATGCTGATGATGAGAAGGGGATTCTCCCACCACTGGTAGCTACCACGGCCTAGCTCTTATCTTCATCTCGTCACATTTTCGATCTTTGGCTGAATAAGTCTTGCAAGCAATACCTCTAGAAAAGTTCCAAAATAGAGAGATTAGAAATATACACCATCTTTATTTTCATGTATAAAAGGATAAAAATCAAAGAGTTTTGTTTTGGTCTAATAAAACACTGGCTTTTTCCTTCTTTTTGTGCCTATCTTATTAATTTTCCATTACTGAAAAAGCCTGTGAAGAAAATACATTGCTTTCCAAAGTCATTTCAGTCTGCTTTGAGAGAGGATCTGCTTCAAGAACAATGTGAAGATGCAAATAAATGATGTACTTGAATGCAGAAAATAAAATGTCCTCAGAAGCTCTGCTTCAGGCTTTGTCTAGACAAGACAAAGCCTCTGTTGGTAAGATTTAGTAAAAAGCTTTCTTGAACTGATGAAGTGAAAAAGAACAAAATCATTTTCTAGATCGTAAATTGTTTTTATGAATTAAGCCATCTACTTCAAGAAAGCATTTTTGCCCATTTTTCTGAGGAAGCTGTGATGTCCTACTTATGCTCAAGGCAAAGTGCTTAAAACTTAACATATAAGTTAGGGAAGCCTTCAGCTATAAATAGCAGAAAACTTGAATAGGGTGATTTAAACAAATATTTTTCTTATGTTGCAAGCAACAGAAATCAGGCAGTTTTAGCACTGGCTCAGCTCCTCAGTGCTGCCATCCAGAATCAGGTACCATCCGTGGTTCTGCCAGTTGACTTTCATCCTCACCCTTTTCCCTCCTGGGCCTAATATGGCTGCTCCACAATTTTTGCAAGTCATCACGTCTATATTCAAAATGGGAAGAAGAGGGTAGGATCTCAGCTACAGATTCTCATTAGAAGAGTAAAAGCTTTCTCAGAAACTGTGGCAGCAGGGGTCTCTTCAAATTTTGTTGGCTGGAGCTGGTCACAAGATTACCCTTAACTGTACAGAGGCTGTGAAATTAGTTCCTGAGGCCATTCATGATCCACAGTCTGGGGCTAGCCACCTTGCTTCTCTGAACAAATCGGAGTTCTGTTTATAATAAAGTAGGGAGAAAAGGACTCTGGGGAAGCAGTTAATAAAATCTCCCACCTCCATCACCACTTTTACACGATCCATCTCTTCTTTCCAAAGATAAGTCAATGTAGAATTTTCCTCAATTGTAGACTAGTCCTGGCTACTAGATTCTCATATATATGGAGAAAAATACCTAAAACTGCTTGGAATATCTGAATGTGATGAAGACTGTGGTATGCTCAGTCAAGTCACTGTCGTCACTACTTTTCTGAGGATTCCTTTACCCACTGGCAATTTTTTTAGCTATTGATTGATATCCTTTACATAGAGGCAGATTTTAAGCTGCCTCAGACCCCTTATTTCAAGTCCTAATTCCCAGAAGAAATAGTCATTTTGTACCTCTAACAACCGTGATGCCCAAAATGGTTTAGGAAGTTGTATTGTTGTTGTTTTTGATTTTTGAACTGTTCAGAAATTGGGACATTTTAGAAAAGTTAGAAAGTGTTTCTAAGGCAGATATTTTTCAACTGTCAAAAGGAAAAATGTAAACACATTTTGCAGGAACTTTGAAAAAAAAATGATGTAACTGATAAAATCAGCAACTCAGAAAGAGAGTGAGAAATAGCTAGCTGATACAAGAACGAGGAAACTGTGTTAACAGTGATCCAACATATTACTATTGCAGAGTGTTGTTTTAGCCATAGTGTTAGCTATTTCTAAGAAAGATGGAATAAGAAATTTGTGATACTCTTTTTTTTATATCTTTCCCTAGATAAAACTTAAAGAGATATTTGAAACCCCTACAGAAATCAGTCTGGTCCTAGAACTCGTCACAGGAGGAGAACTGTTTGATAGGTGAGTTGATTCTGGAAATATAACCACAGAAAGATTTACTTTTGGCCACCAAAATATAATCTAAAGGACATTTCTCCTGAAACTTTTTGTAATGGCAGATCATACTTGTTGATAGGGTAGTGATAAGATGTAGTTACATGAAAACTTGAGACATTTAGTGAGTAAAAAGAGAAAGACTATAATATCTATTTACCTTTATAAATATTTATTTCCTCAATAAAAAAATAGAATTTCTAAAATCAGATTACATTTAAACTAAATAGTAAGATTTATAAAAATATTTTAAGAAAATACTTGATGAAAATTTTGGAAAATTAGACATGTACTCTGTGTTCTCTGTTATGATCCAAAAGCTCATAAAAATCAATAATCTTTAAATGATTATTTTAAAGCTTACTTTCTTTAGAAGTCCATATAAAGAGTTCCGTGTTGCAAAGTAAACATGTTGTTATAGCCAATTATTGCTAACTTTGGTTTCCTGTTCGTATGTTCATCTTTCAAAGCAGAGGAGTGAGAAAGGAGAAGAGACTGGGGGTGGGGGATGTGCCTGGAAATCTGGAAGAGCATAATATAGGTAAACTATTTGTACAAGACACACAAACTTTATGTTTCCATAGTTTTTCCATCTTCCCTGCCCTCTTAATGAGAATTCTGTATTTGTCCTGATGCGCTCTTGAGAGCCTTTTGTTGTGTTCATCAGACAATCAAAAAAGAATGGAATTGAAAGAAGACAAAGTAGGCTATGTTAGAAATGATAAGAAGTCATGCATGAATGGAAAAGTTTTGGTTAAAAATAGGGTGAGGCAGGTGGACTGCAGTTTAGAGTGAAGACAGAAGAGACTGTGGGAACCATTAATATAGCCTGGATCACAGCAAATGTTCCATATATATTCGCTGAATGAATGAATGAACAATTGCTACAATGAAGGGACTCTGAGGAGAAAGATATCCTAAGGGGATTAGTTTTGAATATGTTGGGAGAGGAGCACTCCTTTGCTCTTACCAGTATCTGAAGGTTTGTGTGCCCCCAAAATTTGTATGTGGAAATTCTGTTCCCTAAGGTGATGGTGTTAGGAGATGGGATCTTTGAGAGGTAATTAGGTCATAAGGGTGAAGCCCTCTGGAATAAGAGTAGTGCCCTTATAAAAGAGGCCCTAGAGAGCTGCCTTTCCCCTTTCACTATGCAAGGACACAGCAAGAAAGTGCCCTCTATGAGGAAGCAGGCCCTCACTAGACACAAAATCTGCTGGTGTCTTGTACTTGGACTTTTCAGCCTCCAGAACTATGAGAAATAAATGTTTGATATGTATAAGACACACAGGTTATGGGGTTTTTTAATAGCAGCTCAAATAGACTAAGGTACTTTTCTTCCCACCCCCATTCAATCCAGTTAAATTTGCTGCCTCTTCAAGAGCTTTCAAAAGTATTCACATTGTTTTTGAAAGGTTCTGTCTCTTTTTCACATTGCCCAGTGAAAATTTTGATCTTTAGATGAGGAGCAAAAGGCCTAGCTTCATCGCAACTACATATGTATGTGTAATAGGTATACATCTGAATTTTGTTCATATACGTGTTGAAACTTCTTTAGAGAAGGTTCAACATATTATTAGACTTTATTATAACATTTTGATTATTTTTACATTATAAGAATAATAAGTCAGCTGAAGGAAATGAATATCAGTAGCCTAAAGACATATAGCTCTGGCGGCAGTTGTTTTTTTTTTTTGAAAGACTCATAGTTGTGAAACTTGACTCTACAACTGAAAGATACATAACTAACCTAGAATAATTTGCTTAACTTCTCTAAATCTCAGAGCAAATTTGAAGAGGCTTTATGCTACTAATAAAGCTTAGACAGTTCTAATCCACTATGAGGATGGTTTTGTTCACATGTTCCCACATCCTCAAGCAAGACTCTCCTGAACTGGGTAATTTGGGTATTGCCACAATATGCCTATGATGGCTTCTTTTTTAACACCTCTTTATCTGACTCTTTTTCATGGATGTATTCCTTCTTTAGGCACATTAATAGAGTCAGTTTATAGTCAGATCCTGCTGGCTTTGGAGTTATGAGCTTTCTCTAAGGAGACTTTGCATATTTCTTGGCTAATTATGGTCTATCAGAGAGAAATCTCATGTTTTTAAATTATGAATAATTGCAGGACAAGAATTCCACACCCAAGCAATCATCTGCTAATAGTATTTGCTATTTACTTCCCTCCCTCTATTGGTTTGAGTTAATTGGGAATCAAGGGTATCTACTTCTCTTCTTCCCAGCCTTTCTTCCATGAAAGAATTTGGGATGAAATTTAATTTAGCTATAGCTAAAAACGAAACAACTAAATGCTATTGATAAATTTCATTTGCAGAGATAAATGGATGAAATATTCATATTTGGCAGAAAACATTTAAAGAATGGCAGACAGCCAGTAAAGCACTCAACTCTTAGTGGTTTTAAAAGATAGACTCTTCCTTTGCATGTTGTTGTCTACAACATTGCCCTAGCTGATAAGAACTTGGTCTCTCCATTAAGTTATTTAATTCTTTAAATTTTATCAAGTTATCTTTAAATTTTATCAAGCTGAAAATAAATTCTGCATTATCCAATATATTGATTTTTTTTTCTTGAGAGTTAAAAAGTAATGTGTTATCTTTTTTTTTGTACTTAGGTCAAAACCAATTTATTTAACTGTGATGATAAGAATTCATTCCTGGTCTAATGATGACTCTAATCGTACCTAATGAATGAACTAGGGAGTAATTGCTGAAGAGATAATCATATGAGTCAATTATAGTCAAAAAGTTTGTATTTTATTAGCAAAAAAATCTATTCTATAATGCTTATAAAAATTAAACATAGAATTCAAGTAGAATCTGCTATTTTACATAGAATTTAAATTGTAAATTACATAGGACAATTTATTAGAAATTTTGGAATAAAATCAATGATTTGTGCCCAAGAAAAATCTAAAACATAAATAAATTTTCACAGTTAGGACATCATGAGAAGAAGAAAGCTCCCATGAAGTTTCTGTTTAATCATTCTTGGTTTGTTCTCAACTCTTAAAACCTCAACACCATTTTCATTGAATTGTCAAGGTGGACAAGGTGTGAGTTTTGCTTTAAGAGCAAATTTCCAACTTTTTTTTCCTTGAAAATGATTGTATTTTAAGGCAGCAAATTTAGCAATATCCTTACAGTCTTCTAATTAAATCAGAAGTGTTTTTTCCCTGGTTTTTGTCAGGTAACTCAAGTATCTAAGTATAGTTTTGCATTTTTAAAAATCATCATGGATTTTTTTTTCTGTTTTCTCTTTTTCATTTGTTTGTTTCATCAATTTTTCCTAAAGAATTTTTTTTTAAACTTTTTAGTTCAGAGGTACATTTACAGGTTTGTTACATACATAAATGTGTATCACAGGGATTTGTCGTACAGATTATTTCATCACCCAAGTACTAAACCTAATAACCACTAATCCATTAGTTATTTTTCCTGATCCCCTCTACCCTCCCAATTTCCACCCTTCAAAAGGCCCCAATGTGTGTTGTCCCCCTCTATGTGTCCGTGTGTTCTGATCATTTTGCGCCCACTTAAAGGTGAGAACATGAAATACTGGGTTTTCTGTTCTTGTGTTGGTTTGCTAAGGATAATGGCCTTCAGCTCCTTCCATGTCCCTGCAAAGGACATGATCTATTTCTTTCTGTGTTTTTGCTTACCTGCTTAGGCTTGTTCCAATACAAATGTATGTACCAAAGTTATTAGAATTTGAGACTTGGAATGCTGTTACCTTCCAAAAAAGCAGATTTTCTTTTGTTGTAACAGGCATTTAAGGTTAAGAAACAGATTACTTTACTACAATTGGATATTGGGCTAATTCAAAGCTGGGCTTCCTAATGGCTGGTATATTCCTTGTCAAGTCTTATTCAGAGGGCTTTGCTCTTTGAAGTTCTTAACTTTAAGCCAGGGCGTTTTACCAGGGCTCCTCTTACTTGGCAGACCCTGAATGCCAACTTCTGTCCCCTTAGCTCAGTACAATGGCCAGAAACTTGATTCAGCTTCTTTCTCAGCCTGTCAGCTGCTGTGTTGGAATCAGTAAATGCCTTCAGAAGGAAAGCAGAAGCATCAGATGACAGGTTTGCTTTGCTGGGTTTTTCTTCTCTTCTGGGTTTTAGTTCCTAAATCCTTTTCTTCCTTAGTGAATTAGTCAGAGTTCTGTAGAGGGACAGAACTAATAGTATAGATGTATACATGACGGGAAGTTTATTAGGAGAATTGACTCACACAGTCACAAAATGAAATTCCACAGTAGACCAGTTTGAGTCCTCAAACCATACAAGTAGGGAAGCCAACAGTGCAGCCTTCAGTCTGTGGCCAAAGGCCCAAGAGCCCCTGGCAAATAACTGGTATAAGTCCAAGAGTCTGAAAGCTGAAAAACTTAGAGTCTAATATTTGAGGGCAGGAAGCATCCAGCACAGGAGAAAGATGGAGGCCAGAAGACTTAGCCAGTCTCATCTTTCCACGCTCTTCTACCTGCTTGTATTACAGCCTTGCTGTCAGCTGATTAGACAGTGCCCACCCAGACTGAGGGTGGGTCTGTATCTCCCAGTTCACTGACTCCGTTGTTAATCTCCTTTGGCAACACCCTCACAGACACATGCAGGAACAATACTTTGCATCCTTCATTCCAATCAAGTTGACACTCACTATTAACCATCATACTTAATAACTCTCTGATCTGTTCAAATATTTTATTTAGTTTGTTTTTATTTTTCTTGCCTGGAGGCTTGTTTGACCCACCATTGGTGAGAGCAAAAATTCACATATGGATTTAAATATTTTTCATAGACACTAATATATTTTCCTCATTTAAAAAGTCAACCTATTTGAGCAAGCAGGATGAAAACCAGTATCCTCATTATGCAGATGTGAAAACAGAATTAATAAAGGTTAATGATCTTCCCTGTACAAGCAACCAGACTGTCTTCTGATCCAACCCTTTC